ATTATATAAAAATAATAAAATTATAAAATTATAAAATTAATAAAATTTAAATAAATATAAATTAGTTATTATTAATTCCGATTTATTTGGCTGATTTTAGGCTGATTTAGATTGATTGATAATCAAATTTAAGTAGTTTTTAAGCTAATTTTAAATAGCTGATTGATGACTGATTGATATTTTCAATTGACTCATATTGTGTCAATCGGAATTAATATAAATCAACTCTAAATCAGCCATTAATCATCTATCAATCATCTATCTGATTTTTAGTCGATTTGCATACATTTCGACCAGTGTATGAACTGTAGTTTGAGTTTGATATAATAACTTAGGCATAAATACATTGTTAAAAATGATAACAAATTGTTCATTAGTGAATCTTTTCTTCTAAAAAATTGCATTAATATGAGTTATTTCAGATTGTATTTAATTTTTAGTAAATATTGAATTATAGTTTAAAGAGATTCAGATTCTCAGATATCTAATTGAGATACTGAGTATATGGGTTTTAGTCTTAACTTTTCTGCTATTAGATTAATTTAACTTTAGCTTAGTTATCAATTAACATTAATAATACTGAAATGCTATTCAGTTTATAAAAAGAATCTGCTATATTGATAATAGATTCTAAGTCTTTTCTTAAATCATCAATCTAAAGTGTATAATTCATATATACTAAATTGGTATATATTTATTAATTAAAATGAATACGTTATGATTTATATTATTATTTCAAGTTACTTCTTGTATATATTTATGTAGCGATTGTTAAATATAACAAAGGAGTAAGTTATAATACATACACCAGAGACTAGGTAAAAAGATTTCTCCTTGATCAATTTTTGATAAAACTTAATAGTTAAATGTGTTACTATAGGAAGTAAAAAACTTGGTTTGATTTTAAATAAATTTTTTTCACAAATTTTAAAAAGGCAAGTAGAAGTTTAATATGTTTAAAGATTCTTGTACTTGGTCATATGCCTTAGACATATCTTGAAATAATATTCAAAGGTTATTTTTGTTATATTTGACATTATAAGTCACATTATTTTAAAATATGGGTAGGCTTAAAAGTACTTTTATATAATAAGCTAGTGAAATTGGTATCTTTAGGAATCTCATTATTAGATAATATTTTTAAAAAACAATGATTAACTAATTTCATTAAACCTTGTCTAAATCATTTTAATAATATTATTAGACAGGTGTTATTTAGGTCATATTCCCATGATTTAGGTTTAAAAATCAAATATATAAAAACTAAGTTCTATTTATTAAGTATATCATTAATAGTTAGACAGAAACAAATAATTTTTTACAAAATCTTTTTTACATATTGTTTTAAACATTTAAGCATTTCATTTGAAATTTTTAATGGAACAGCTGCTTTATCATTTGTAAGATAATTAATAGTCTCTTTTTATTCTTAATGTAAAGGTGAAATTATAAGTTAATAATATAAGATAAATTAGTATCAATAGAAGGAATGGGTGAGTAGGTATTTAACTATTTTTCAGAAATTGTTTTATAATAGTATTTAGATCCAATAACTTTTTGGAAATATATATTTATTTTCTTTTTAACTTTATCTGCATTTGTTAGTACACTAAAGTTAGAACCAAAATTATTTATACCAATTTAATTGTGAATCTTTATCTATCTAGTAGGGAATTGTATATAGTTATTTAATCATTTTTGAAATTAGTATATCTTTTATCGATAACGTATTTAATAGCTTTAGATTTATATATTGCATCATAAGGTTTAACTTAATTATAAGAACTTTTATTTAATATTTGATCATGTTTTTATGATCACTTAAGATATTAAAAGTAAATAATAATAGGATTGAGATTGTAATATCATATTCATTAGTAAAAGCAGATATAGTATTAAATGTTATCATTTAATTATTGTCATAATATCCATTCTTAATGAATTTGTTTATAAGAGTAAGTAGCTTTTGAGATAGTTTAAGTTGTTTATATATATCTTTAACTAGAAATTGCAGATAGAAAGATTTTATTCTTACACAACTTATTAACCTACCTTATTTATTGCAATCATTGCAATGTAATTTACAAAAACCTTTTACTTATATAATGAAAAGAACAAATAATTTATTTGAAATATATATATAAATTGTTTTTATATAAAAAGAATGTTTATTAAATTATAATTTATAAACATAACTAAGAAAATAAATACATTATAAAATATAAGAAAATAAATATATTATAAAATATAAGAAAAATAAGAAATTAAGAAATTATAGAAAATTAAGAAAGTTTCAGATCTTAATAATTTATTATGATTACAAATCATGAACTATGATTAACACTATATTATATATCAAATCAATTTTTTTCTTTTTAATTTAAAGCAAATTAAACTTTCTTGAAATAATTTTTTTTTTAGTATTGGAATTTCTTCATAATTTTTATTTTAAAAATATTTTTTCCTTTTTTAATAATTTGTCAAATGGCATTATATCACATAATTTGTTATTAAATTTTTGACAAATATTTTTCTTATCAAGTAATAAGATTTTGTTTTTTTTACTTTCAATTAATTCAGTAATTATAAAATGTTTATTTTAAATTATTTAAAAAAAAAAATGTTAGAATTAAATATAAAATCAGTTTTATTTTATTAAATTGTACTTATATAAAAAGTTTGTTGAAAAAAAAAAATAAAATAAAATATAAAATTACAGTTTTATCTCATTGCAAATTGTATTAAAAGAGTTTTATTTTGCTGAATTATATCTATATAAAAAACTGTTAAAAGCAATAAAAAAATATAAGAAATTAAATACAAAATTACAGTTTTATCTCACTGTAAATTGTATTAAAAAAGAAAATGTAAATACAAATCAGTTTTATCTTGCTGAATTGCATCTATATAAAAAAATATAAGAAATTAAATACAAAACTACAGTTTTATCTTGCTGCAAATTGTATTAAAAAAGAAAGTATAAATACAAAATCAGTTTTATCTTAATAAATTATACCTATATATTTAAATTAAAAAAAAAAATAAATAAATTAATATATTTATGAAAAAAATTAATAATCATTCGCTAATAATAATTGGTGCAGTACTAATGTGTCATAATTAAACTATCACTAACAACACGTGTGATGCCAATTTTACAAATGTATTCCAAACTGAAGATAGTAAATATTGTATAGTGATGAGTAAATCTGCTGATGATTCTGCATTTATCCCAAAAAATTTCACAATTGGAATCTCTGGACCTTATGAAATTTATAAAGAAATGGTGTTAAGCTTAAACTGTTTGTCATTAAATTAACAAAGATTATTTACTAGTACGTCTAAACTATGAAAGAAATAAACACGATTAATTAAATTGAAGGGTCAGGTCATCTTTATTAATATAGATTTAAAGAAGAATGAATTAAGTTTATGAGCAAAGATAAGTTTTAGAGATAAATGTTATTGATTTATTAGAGAATTGGTAACAACTCTGCCATTTATTGAGACAGAAATACAAGATATTTATATAGCACCGCATCGTTAAAACAAAAAAAAAAAAAAAAAATAAGAAATTTATATAAAATACATCATATGAAATAGATATTTAAGATAATAAAGAAATATAATCAATATAATAAAATAATGAAATTAAATATATTAAAAAAATGTGTGAAATTCGCTAAGAAATTAGTGAAATTAGAGAAATCAGAGAAATGGTAGAAAGTTGAGAATCGTGATAGTCAAGATTACCATTCGTGATTATGTTTGGCGCAGTATCGTGCGTCTAACAAGACTATCACTAACAACGGCAAACAACGGTTTTCATATACACATATTCAAATGTAACATAGCATACCAATCATCAGGATACAACTTCATAATTCAAACAGTCGATGGAGGCCAAACAACATTTACTGAAGTTGACTTTTTAGGCACAGTAGCAACGGTAAAGTTACTAAACACATAAATATGTAGTACCGCAGATTACGGCCAAAAATGTTGTGACGAATGTTGAATCATTAGCTTATGGTGGATATGTTATTGTAACAAAGGACTGTTCTACCGGAAAGAATGATGGTTATGTTGTTAATAATGAAGGGGTGTATAATGTAACTATACTTTGGGGTCTTTCTGATAAATATTCTTACGTTGACGTTGTTGTACTTCCAAATAATACGATTGTTGGTACTCATCAAATGTTGGAACTGGTGGCGGTGAATGTGTTACCATCGCTTCTATTCTACAAGTAAGATTTTTTCTTTAAAAAGAGAAATTTTTTATATAGTTGAAGGAGGAGATGGTACAGCACCGGGAGGACCAGGAGGATATGAAAGCGCTAAAATATTATCCACAATCCCAGCGAAAGGATCTACAGTAACGGTACAAAACAAATATAAGAATTTAACATTACATTCCAAGTTAATGAAATCGATATGATTTTAAAACAAACAGTCTCAGCAAAAGATGAGCAATATTTTACGGTTCAAGATAATAATGTTAAACTTAAAATCTTGAACAGTACTCTAAACACGTATAACGCTCCTAATGTTCCTTATTATGTTGAGGTTGATAATGATTTCGTAAAGAAACAATCAAATGGTCAAAACGTTATAGGAATTAGATCAAAAATTTGGACTTTCAACGGAAGTAGTAAGTACACAAAGGAATGACATGACTACTATTGTGTTGTTGTTTTTTTTTAAAACTACGGTAATTCAAAAATATGTGAATATAATTTTTTCTTCAAGACGCCAAAAACGCGGCTAACGCGAATACTGCAGGATGTATATATTTATATATATATTATTTTTTAAAAAAATCTTCGATTTTCTTTATATTAAGAAAATTATTATCTTTTCAGCTCAGCTGGATCAGCTAGTGCAATTATCCGATTATAAGTTGATGGAACGAAAATCTATAAAGATTTTTCTTAAGATGATAGACAAACATTTGTAAATAAAATTAGCGAAGAAATTTCAAGGGCAATTTCATGAGAACCAGGGCGTTTATCAACCACCAAAAAATATCAATACGATGCTAATACCAAAGAAGATCAATTCATAATGAGAGTTGAAATCAAAAAATCGGTATCATCTAAACAAGCTAGTTCGGGGCAACTTATAATTTAGATGAAGTTGTACAATTCATTATCGAATGGCGATAGCGCTAGTTATCTTGATGAGTCAAATGGAGCTCCTCGAACCGAAGATCTTAACAAATACAAGTTTATTCTTATCGGATTCTTTATTTTATTATTCATATTGATTGGATTGGTATGGGCTCGAAAGAAAAATAAGTGAGGACGAAACATTTGGCGATATTTTGCCTTGCATTTATCCTTATTGATATATAATCTTAGACATTGCATTCATGTCCATTCATGGAAAAGAATTCTCCCCATATGGTAAGGAACCTCTAAATTGAAAATTTCGAAGCAATTCTTTTTGACATAATTTATATATTTATTCATTTATTTTTTATTGTAGTCTCATTTTTTTTCTTGGTTCCAATGCTTCTCAATTTATTATTTATAATTTATCTAAATAGAATTGATGCAGCACTTAAAACATGGAAGCAATCGCTACAAATGTATTTATTGCATCATCAATTATTGATACTGATGCATTACAAGAAGTATCATCAAAAGCTGGTGGAATTACTTTTGGTGCTCCATATTCAGAAAAAGCCGAGAGATTAATCCTGAGAGATTAATCCTGGTTTTAACCGGATTCGTAGCATTTTTCGAAGATTTACCTCAATTTATTTTTTATAGTGTTTAATTATCAAAATACGTTAAACCGGCTATAGTACCAATCCTTATCTTATCATCATGTATAATTGTTTTGTTCTTGAAATTCTCTGCTCTAATATTTTATACTTGCTGTTGTAAAAATGGTAGGAAGCAACTGAGTGGTAAAGAAAAGGTTATTAACGATGATAGTAGCAGCAGTAGTTCTTCTAGTGATTCTGGTTCAAAAGAGAAAATTACGCTCCCGATAATGCAGATACAGGAACAAGAAATGATAGAACAGGTTCTGATGTATCACCAACAAATTCACCATCAGATGGACTAACTGGTAAATCAAATAGACCTACGGATGGCGAACAAGGACTACCAAACACTAATCCACATCGGTTGAATCTTATGGAAATGTTAAACCAGTTGCGGATGAACCAATTAGTCCAATACCAGCCGATGAAGAACCGAAGACTTCAGCACATAATGAAAATAACAATAAGGGAAGGATTTCTACATAGCAAGAAGCCAAAGAAAGATGATACCAGTGATACAAACAATAATGAGGTAACAAAAGATACCACCACTTCTGATACAACTATGAGACCAGTTAGTTATAGATAGTACAATTAGAGATTGTACTATAGAAAATTATAATAATGTCATAAAATATCTCAACTCAATAGAAGGAACAAAATCGGAAGAGATAATTTAGCAGGAGCATCAAATTCAACAGTACTTGGATTTGGTTTGCATTCATTTGGTGGAGGAGGTGGAAGTGGTTATGTTGATGATACCAATAACAAAATAACAGCAGTTACGTTAAAAACTACAGGTCAAGAGACAATTACCAGTAAGGAAAGTGGAAACGATTTGAAAATTGCCGCCGAAGAAGGAATTGGCGGAGCAGAAGTCGCGATAACTACTAGTACGGACGGTGATGAAAAAGATATCACCAGTACCACTAAAATTGTGAAGATCACCACGACATCATCAGATGACGGAGTAGAACACATTACTAGAACATTACCAGTTGAATGATTACTGATGAGAAATATTCTACCGTTGAAAGAAGTTTTATTATTAAAACAACAGGTGATGATGGTGTTGAAGTATATATTATTACCACTACGGGAGAAATAATATAATATCAGATGATAAAAAATTTAACATGATCTCTGATGAAAGAAGAAATATTACTACAACAACTGGTGATGCTGGTGGAAATATGTTATAACATCATCTAAAACATTGGTGGTGATTGGTGGTGATGGTGGTGAATACTTTACAACAACGACAAAGACAACAAGAAGTGGTGATATAGAATATATTGGAGGAGAAAGAGAACACTTTACTACTACAGGTGGAGAAACTCTCGAAGGTGGAGAGACAACAACAACAACTACTTATATTACAAGTAGTGGTGGTGGTGTTGGTAACACGACTTCAATTGGTAGTTCAAGAATACCAACGAGAAAACAAATAGAGAAACAAACAAGAGAATCCACTTCTAGTGAAACAGATGCGAACGGAATTACAACAACAACTGGAACAGTAACTGAAACCGAAAATGGTGAAACGACTGTCACAATAACATTCACTAAAATGGACCAGAGTGGAAGAGAAATATCAAGTAGCTCTAAGACAAATGATACATATGATACTGTAACTAGTGGTGAAAAAGGTGATGAAGGCGAAGTTATTACTACCATCATAACTACGAACGGTGGAAAACTCAAACTACTACAAGCACTGTTGGAGTTACGGATGCTGCTTTAATTGAAACACAACAAACAAGTACCGAAAAGAAAACTACTTCCGCTGAAAAGCTTTAACGGTTAGTAATGATTCAGTACACGTTCGATCAAAAGAACTTCGACTTATGGTAGAAGTGGTGGTAAAATTTCAAGAGGTAAAAAGAAATCTACAGCGACTACTGCTTCTAAAGTAAATAGAAGTGGTGATCAAAACATTCATTTTCTGAATTCAATTCATTTGTAGAAATATGAGTTTTGGGGGAACCATCTGATGTATTATGATTGATCATCTTTTGTTTTTTAAAAGGGTTCGATGATGAACTTTGTTCCTATTTATATTATTTGTATTCGGAATTAATTTAAAGAACTGCATTACATTACATTCAAACATTTATTTATTTATTTATTTTGAATCTTGAATGACTTGACAAAAACTTGATGTAAAAATATATACAAAAATCAAAACACTCAGAATAAACTTATCTGCGAATAATCTACTAAAGAAAACAAAAAAATTAAAACATAAAAATTGAACTGGAAAATACAATAGTACTTGTTCGCTACTAGGATATACTAGTATCCAGGTTGCACGACAGGGACGTCAGTACTAATCGCAACCCAAAAAAATGGAGCTCTCATCTACCAAGCAAAGTTCCAAGTCTATCTAAATTCAACGATGTAAGGAGAGAGTGCCTTTGGCAGGGTTGGGAATTTTGTATTATTAAATGTACTAAATATACTAACGTATGTACTAATCTTTGTACTTTCCAACCCTGCCTTTAGTTTCTATCTAATTTTTTATTTTTTTATTTTTTTTATTTTTTTTTTTATTTTTTTATTTTTTATTTTAGTTAGCCCCCAAGATATTCCTTCTTGGGCGGTTTGTTTTCCCAGTTCTGTCACTTTCTGGGCGGTTTTGGTACCCAGTTATCCGTTCTGGAAGTTTAGTGACCAGTTTATTCTGGTGAAGCTTTTCGACCATAAAAGGAAGGTACTTAACCAATTCCTCATCAAGAACCAGTAGACCTTTTACATGCTGTTTTTCAAAGAACTTCTGCGAAAAAAAGTTTATATATATATACATGGGAAAGTTTAAGGTTTGTATTCAAGTGTGGAGAGTGGGACACAAAAACAGAATGTGTCTTGCGAAAGACTGTGTTCGTGAGGAAGAGGGGAGAAGAAGAGGGAGAACAGGATAAAGAACAGAAAAGAATTTATTTATTTATATAAGAACAATTATAAAATCTCATACTAATTTCTTCTTTTGAATAAATATATAACTCTAATTATCTGAATTAATTAATTTATGTATTTTTTTTAAAAATCATATACTCTATTACAGTTGATTATTTACTAAATTTAGAAATATACCATGAAAAATAATTTATTTATCTCGCAGTATTTTTTTTTTTATGGTAAAAGACACGTTTTTCGTATTTTTTTTTTTTTAGCGAATAATATTATTAATCCTTTATACAGTATATCAAAAATAAAATAAAAAGATAAAATATACTACAGTTTACCTAGTATCTTGTTAATTATAAGCGAAAGAAACTACCTTTATTTCCAGATTAATCAAGTTATTTACCATAATTAAAAAAAAGATTCTTAAAAGAGATTAAACAAGAAAATTAATTAGTATTTAAAAACGTTAAAATTCATTTAATTCTTTAATTTAAATCAACAAGAAAGAATTATAATTTATTTTAGGTATTAATAATAAAGATATATTTTTTATATATTTACTAAGCAATTGTAATATTCAAATAATCTTAGCAATCAAAATCTTCCAGTTACGGCCATACACAGTGAAAAGCACCGGAACCCGTCCGATCTCTGAAGTTAAGCCACTGATGGCCCAGTCAGTACTACGGTTGGGGACAACGTGGGAATACTGGGTGCTGTAACTTTTTTGTTTTTTAAACGTAAATATTATAATTAGCCGCGAAGTTGATAATCATTATTAAAGAAATTTGATTTTTTGAAAATGATATAGAAAATTTTATACATATTTTTGCCATATGTAATATTTATAATTAAAACATTACAAAATCTTTGTTTTAAATTTTTTGCATTTTGTCCATCAAAAAAAAAATTTCAATCGAGGAAGTTTAACCTTTTTAATAAAAAATTTATAAATTTATATAATTTGTTAAATTTAAAGTTTGTTAATTAGGCAGATTCGGTCATAAATGGGGATAAAAGCATTAGAAACCGTATCTCCAAATTAAATACTTGCCCAATCGGTAGTACTACGATTAGAAAATATAGCGTAAATTTTACAGAATTTGCAATTTAAGTTATATCATTAATGAAACCAAAAATTTTCTTTTTAATTACAAATTTATTAATTTATTTCTCTGTCGTTATTTCAATTTCCTTATAATTCTGAATAAATTGGAATGGAAGATCAAAAGGATCAAAATGAAAATTAAAATTTCAAATATAAATTTAATGGTGAATTTGAAAAGATCCAAAAAGCTATTTCCTTGATCGGAATTGTAATGCATCATCCAATTCAGAGTCGGTTGTAACCTCAGAAATTGAATCTGAAGACGTTGAAGGCGTGATCTATGCTGCGCCGATCAACTACAACCAATCATGTGATTTGAAATGTTTGGCCGATCTGACCGA